ATGCCTGGCTCAAAACCTTTTGCATACAGTTAAGAAAACCATATTCTTAGAGCTGGTTGCCTAATTTAAAGATGAAGAAATTGACACCCAGTCCTTGCAAGACTAGTCAGGTAGTGAGTCAAGAAGGAGAGGACCATAAAGACCTAGGAATTCTGGCATCATCATCATAATTAACATTGAGCATTTATGTGCCAGGCATTGTGTTTCTCACTTTATCTGGATGATCTCATTTAATCTTCATATCCTTTGAGCACAGGTACTATCATTTTCTTTTCATTTAAAAACAAATGTTGAAATTGAGACTCAGAGGTTAAGTAACTTGTCCTAGGCTTCCTGGATATCTGATAATAGTCTGCTGTTTTTAAAAATTGTTACTATCTAATATGTTTTCAATTATTAGCAGTTCCTCCCAGTTTTGCTGTCCACAGAATCTGACTGCTCATGGATGAAAGTGAAAATGCTCTACTAGAAATGAGTGGGCGGGTGGTTATGAAGATCTCCAGCAATATGTGTATGCCAGCAATATCTGGCTTTAAACAACCTATTTTATGTATTATTTTATGAAAACATTGAAAGCATCATTTATTAAGTATCCCACTGGTTCAGAGAAGTCTGAAATACCTTTGCCTTTGCTTTTTTACAGAGTGCTGAGTAAAAGTAGTTAGAGAGGTTGAAGGGTGGGATGGGAAGAGAGGTAGAAAGAGATGAGGCACTGGGCACAAATGACAGGCCGGTGAAACAGACAGCCCTATTGATTTCTGCCGCGAACCGCATTCTGCAGGAAAGAATGGAAATCCACTATACCAAGTGCATAGCAGACAGATCCCTTTGAAAAGCAGTTAGATGCCATCTAATCCCAAATCATTTAAAAACAATTTTGGAGTACCCAGAATTTTAAAATGCCCTAAATAGTTTGTCTCTTACACTAGAAGAACCGTGAAATGGATGGAAAAACAGTATTTTCATGGTGTTTTCCTCTCATATATTGTGTTTAATTGTGCAACTTAAATAGTGTGTTAAAATTGCATTTTATTTTTAAAGATTTTATTTATTTGTTTGACAGAGAGAGAGTTAGTGAGAGCAGGAACACAAGCAGGGAGAGTGGGAGAGGGAGAAGCAGGCTTCCCGCCGAGCAGGGAGCCCGATGTGGGGCTCAATCCCAGGACCCTGGGATCATGACCTGAGCTGAAGGCAGACGCTTAACGGCTGAGCTACCCACGTGCCCCTAAAATTGCATTTCAGATATGTACAAATCTGGGCGGTAAGATATAGTCCCTTGAATATTCTGAAATACATCAAACATAGGCTATGGAAGAAACCTTATCAGATACCTTTCTTTAAAAAAAAAAAGAAAAAAGTTTATTTTGATATAATTTTAGACTTTTAGAAAAGTTACAAAAATAGTGTAAAGAACTCTCATTACCCACATTTCCCAAATATTAACGTTCTGTCGTGTTTTCTTTATTTTTCCCTCTTTTAAATAATACTGTTTTACGAGGTACATCTTCCAAAGCTCCATTTGAAGAAACTGTCATGTCATGTTACGCCACACAGAGATACAGGGCTGGGGAGATGACCTCAAGCAGAAGAGAAAGTGTGGAAAAGGGGTTGGGGAGTCAAATGATAGCTGAGTGATTCCTAATCTTTTTGGATTTGAGGCATCATGCGGTTGTTTTATTTTGTAATTAAAGTGAATTTTATTTTGAAATACAGAATATTCCCTGAGATAACTGAATAGTCCCAAAGTTAAAAATCAGAGTTAGAAGGATGAGTTGTGATATGTATAGTGGTGTGAGAATGACAAGGGAGAATTAAAAGTTAAAAGAAAAAAAAATTGGAAACAGCACAAGAATATAAAATAGAAATCAAGAGCTTCCAAAAGGTGAAAATTTGGTCATTTACAAAGAACCAGTTTGCCTGAAGAACAAAGACAACAGAATGGGGCTTAAAGCAGTCAAACTCTGGGGTGGCTGAGGGGAGGGGGTAGGGATCCGGGAAAGAAAGCAATCACTCAGAGAAACCAAGGATTTTAGAAGTTTTCAAAGAAGGAAAGGGAGAGTTTTACGGTAATCCCAGGACCCCAAGATCATGACCTGAGCCGAAGTCAGACACCTAGCCAACTGAGCCAGCTAGGCACCCCGAGAGTATCTTTCATAGAGCAGAAGTTTTTAATGATGTCCAGCTTCTCAGTTAAACTATTTCTTTCATAGATCAGGCATTTGATGTTGTCTCTAAAAAGTTATCACCATAGCAAAGGTCATCTAAATTTTCTCCAGTGTTCTCTTCTAGGAGTTTTATAGTTTTGAATTTTACATTTAGGTCTATGATCCATTTTGAGTTAATTTTTGGAAGTGTGTAAAGTCTGTCTAGATTCATTTTTGGTATGTGATGTCCAGTTGTGCTAGCACTGTTTGTTGAGAAGATTTCTTTTTGTCTCCATTGTAGTGCTTTTGCTTCTTTGTCAAAGATCAGTTGACTGCATTTATGGGGATCTATTTTTGGTCTCTCTGTTCTGTTCCATTGATCTGTGTGTTCTTTTACCAACACCACACTGCCTTACTGTAGGTTTATAGTAAGTCTGGAAGTAGAGTAGTATCAATCTTCCAGCTTTGTTACTCTCCTTCAATGTTGTCTTTACTGTTCTGGGTCTTTTGCCTCTCCATATAAACTTTAAAATCAGTTTGTTGATTTCCATAAAATAAACTTGCTGGGATTTCAACTGGGATTACATTGAATCTATGGATCAAGTTAGGATATCTTGACAATATTGAGTCTTCCTATCCATGAACATGAATCTTGTTACTATTATTTAGTTCTTCTTTGATTTCCTTCATCAGAGTTTTGTAGTTTTCCTTATATAGATCTCGTCAGTATTTTGTTAGATTTATACTTAAGTAGTCTAGTTTTTTGCTTGCTAATGTAAATGGCATTGTGTTTTAAATTCAAATTCTGTTTGCTGGTATAAAGCAATTGATTTTTGTATGTGAACTTTGTATCCTGCAACATTGCTATAATCACGTATTAGTTTCAGGAGGTTTTTTGATTCTTTTGGATTTCCTATATAGACAGACAATCATGTCATCTTGAACAAATACAGGGTTTTTGTTTTATTTTTCCTTCCCAATCAGTATGCCTTTTATTTCCTTTTCTTGTCTTACTGGACTAGCTAGGACTTCTAGTACAATGTTGAAAAGGAGTGGAAAAGGAGTTGCCTTATTCCTGACTTAGCAGGAAAGCTTCTAGTTTCTTGGCATTAAATATGATGCTAGGTGTAGATTTTTTATTGATTTTTTTTTCTTAATTTTGGAGAGAGGGAGCATGAGTGCGGGGAGGGGCAGAGAGAGAATCTCAAGCAGACTCCCCGCTGAGCGTGGAGCCTGCCACAGGGCTTGATTTCATGACCCTGAGATACAACCTGAGCTGAAACCATGAGTCACATGCTTAACCGACTGAGCCACCCAGGTGCCCCAATTTTTCTTATAGATTTTTAAAAATTGAGTCAAGTAAGTTCTTCTCTAAGTTTATATTATTATTATTATTTCTTTAGATTTTATTTATTTATTTGAGAGAGGGAGAGGGAGAAGCAGGCTCCCTGCTTAGCAGGGATGTGGAGCTTGATCCCCTGGGATCATGACCTGGGGCAGACACTTAACCATCTGAGCCACCCAACTGCCCCTGTATTCCTTCTTTTTAAAGGCTGAATACTATTTTATTGTAGATATATCCACATTTTGTTTACGCATTTATCAATTAGTGGATAGTTGGGTTGCTTCCACCTTTCTGGCTATTGTGAATAATTCTGCTATGAACATGGGTGTACAAGTAACCCTTTGAGACCCTGCTTTCAGTTCTTCTAGGTATAAATGCTGGATCATATGGTAATATTTTCATTTTATTGAGTTTATTGAATATTATATGCAAAATTTTATATACAAGGATATTCACTGCACTGATGTGTATAATGGCAAAAATTTGAAAGCAGCCTTGCTATGTATCAGTAGGTGATTGGTTACATAATTACAGTACATCCATACAATGAAGTATACTGCAGCTGTTTAGGAAGATCTGTATGTTTTGACATGTCAGAATGTCTGGATAGATTATAATATGAAAAAAGCAAATTATAAAATAATATGTTAATATGAACCTGTTTTTTTTTTTAAGAGGTTCTATTTACTTATGAGAGAGAGATAGAGAAAGAATGGGAAGGACGAGGGGCAGAGGGAAAGGGAAAAGCTGACTCCGTGCTGAGCTGGGAGCCTGATGTGGGGCTCTATCCCAGGACCCCGAGATTGTGACCCAAGCTGAAGGCAGATGTTTAACCAACTGAGCCCCCCAGGCGCCCTGCATATGAACCTGTTGTTGTTGGGTTTTTTTAATTTTATGTATGTATGTATGTATGCTTCAAAAAATTTTTTTAAGGATAATACACTTCTGTAGGTTGAGGGGGATGAGGGGATAGATAATAAGTGCAGTAGAAGAGCAGACCTTTATCTTACTACTTTACAAGTTACTGCATCATATGTATCATATCAGGATTTATAAGAGGCACAGTTTTATAAGCAGAAAAACCAATTTAAGTGATTGTAGTTTTGGAAAAAATAAAGCTTAACTTCCGATTGTCTGTGAAATACAAAGAAAATGTTATCTATCTCATTACTTACTGAGGGTTTTTATGTCTACGATGTCAAATGCACATCACTGAGATCTTTAAAGTATCTTTTTTATTGTTATATGTAATATGAAGGGTATTTATTGTCTTGTGGCCTGACATATAAAATTAGCTCAGTGAATTTCTATCAAAATGGTTTTACGTAAGGAAAATGTTCTTCCATTTTTGGATCATACTTGAATGGTGCTATCCATTTCCTGTGACTTGTTGTGGTGAGGTATGTAGTGGAATCGTAGGCTTCCTCTGCTCTTGAGGAAAACATTGCTTCGTTTAAGAATTGTGTTACACTACACACTGAATTTTGTTCCTTTGCCTTTTCTTCTGACAGTAGATCTTCATGGAGGAGCACGGAGTGACCCAAACCGAACACATGGCTACCATAGAAGCCCATGCAGTTGCCCAGCAAGTACAGCAGGTCCATGTGGCCACCTACACTGAGCACAGTATGCTGAGTGCTGATGAAGACTCACCTTCTTCTCCTGAGGACACCTCTTACGATGATTCAGACATACTCAACTCCACAGCGGCTGATGAGGTAACAGCCCATCTAGCTGCTGCAGGTAATACTGTTTGGATCAGAAGCTCTTCATTTTTTTTCTTAACCTCTGGTATTGTGCATATCTGCAAGGGCCTAGAATGCAGGCATTCTCACATATATCACATTTTCATGATTTTTTAAGCCTTGCATTTATAGCTTATGCCTGTATTCTACTGAGACTTAAGATCTAGAATGGCATACTATTAATGATATGACTTTGGTTTTGTTTTTTTCCTCCATTCTAACAATCTTTTGACTTCTTACTAAAACATTTAGTCCATTTACAGTAAATGTAACCACTGGTATATTTAGGTTTAAATTTATCATGTTTACAATATGCTTTCTTTCTCTTCATCCCACTTACTCTGTATTTACTTTTCCTTTGTGTTTTAGAGGGACTGAGAAGTTTTTAATTTTTTTTTTCTTGTTCGTTTGGAAGTTATACACACTTTTACTATTAGTGGTACCCCAGAAATTTTAATACATCCTTAACTTATTTCAAAGTCTTCTGTAATTGGTACTTTTGTCCTTTTAAGGGATAATGCAAGTTTCTTAGAACACTTGAATTTTATTCTCCTGCTTCTGACCTATATGCTATTGTTATTCTGTGTATTAATTCTTTGTATATTTTAAGCCATACAAGACATTATTTTTGTTTTATACTTAATATTCATTTTTCCTTTATATCCAGCTTGTCTTCTGAGAATTTTTCTTCTATGTAAAGATAACATTTAATATTTCCTTCAGCATGGAAGTCTCTCAGTTTTTCATTGTCTGAGAATGTTTTTATTTAACTTTCAATCTCAAAGGATGTTCTCACTGGGTATAGAATTTTAGGTTGGCACTTATTTTTTTCCCCTCATATTGAAGATACTGTTCCCACTAGTTTCTGTCCTTGCTTTTCAGAATTCAGCTGTTTCATTCTAACAGTTGCTCCTTTGAAGGTTATCTCCCACATAGGTCCCTCCTCCAAATGTTATTAAGATTTTCTCTGTCTTAAGTTTTTTGTTTGTTTTTCCGTCTTCAGTTTTTGTGATACATCTGGCTTTGGACTTCTCATTTATTCTGTTTAGGATTCTTTGAACGTCTTGAATCTGTGGATTGATGTCTTTCATCAATTCTGGAAAATCTTAGTCACTAGATCTTTTTTTTTAAGATTCTTTTTATTTATTTGAGAGAGCGAGAGCATGCACAAGAAGGGGGGAGGGGCAGAGGGAGAAGGAGAAGCAGACTCCCCACTGATCAGGGAGCCTGATGTGGAGCTCGATTCCAGGACCCTGGGATCATGACCTGAGCTGAAGGCAGACGCTTGACCCACTGAGCCAGCCACCGAGGCTCCCCTTAGTCACTAGATTTTGCTTCAGTTTTGCTTCTGCTTCATTCCATCTTTTCCTTCTGTGACTCCAGTTAAATATGTTAGTTTTCCTTATTGAATCCTTTATGTCTCTTACCCTCTATTCTATATTACCATCATTTTGTCTCTTTATGCTTCACTCTATGTAGTTTCTTCAAACTGTCTTCCAGTTTATTAATTTTTCTCACCAACTGTGTCTGAGGTGATTTAAATCTGTCTACTGAGGTACTAATTTTAGTAATAGTTAAGTTTCATTTGTTTTTTTTTGTTTTAGAATTTCTATTATGTTTTTCCCTCCCAAATTTGTACTATTATAGTTTCCAATTGTCGTAGAAAAAAAAGTTTTTTAAACCTTTGGGAGTGAAGTAAGCATCATGATTTTACAATACATTTGGTAATTCTCTCTGAGGTGCCTATGGGTCTTTTTCTGTTATATGTTGTTAGTACTATTTCTTGTTTATGTTGGTTTTTTCTCTTCATGTATTGGTTATATTTAAATGAATACTGGATGGTGTGTTTGGAAATTTATTTTTAGAAATAATTTGGGGTCTAGAATAGTATTATTGTCCTCTAGAGAGGATTTTTGTTTGCTTCTGCCAGATGCCTGAGGACACTAGCAATCCTGGATTATCTTAATCCAATTTAAGGTTTGAGATTTTTCTGGGCCACTAAATGACTTAAAGCTGGGCTGTATTTTGTACCATTCCTTTGCTATTTACATTGTATACTTAGCACTATGGGGAAGACTCCATGTAAACCATGCCTGGATGGGTTTAATATTGTATAAGGAACATTGATCTTAGAAGATATTTAGGGAAAGTTGGACAGTAAATCAGTTATCAGGAATGACCAAAATACTTCATCTTTTTTTAGTATGTGCTGTATTTAAGGAAAAGAAGACAAATGTGATGAAAAACAACCTTATTACTCTCAGTTATAATCCACTGTGTATTTCTGGAATTGTGAATTTAAAATAAGGCTCAGTGGCAGAACACATTTTGAGATGTTTGTAAAATACCTTTTTGAAATATTTATACTTCCCAGAAGAGGGCATCCTAACATAATGAATGCAGGTCAACCGCTTTCCTAGGAAGGAAGATGCTTTTGAGACATAGTTTTGCTGTATTACTGTACTGCACTGTCATAGTGTTAAAATTAGGAAAGGACTTTAATCTAACATTTTCACGTGGCAGATATGGAAACTGAGGCCCAGCTGGTAGAAATGATTTACCATTTAAAAATTCAACAATTATTGAGGAATTACTGTATGCTCTATCTCACTGTATATAAATACTACGAACAAGACAGGAAAGAGCTTGCTCCTAATGTAGCTTACAGACCAGTGGTGGGGAGAAGGGTACAAATAATAAAGTAAAATAATTTCAAAAAGCACTGAATACTCTGGAGGAAATAAGGTGAATGGAGAGGGAAGGGAAGGAGATTGCTGCTTTTCTAATCCTATTCTCTTCCCTCCCTCCACTGAGGTAATCACTATCCTAAATTTGATCTTTATCATTCTCATGCACTTCTTTTATTTCTGCTGTATATGTATGTATCAATAAATAATACTTAGCATTGTTTGGCATGTTTTAAAGTTTATAAAAATGATAACACTCTAATCCTATCTCTCTGTAACATTGTTTATCTCATTCAGTATTATTTTTTTGAGATTCATTCATGTTGATAATGTGGCAGTATATTTTTATTTTAAGTGTGATTTGGTATTCCATTCATTATCTGAAAATGACATATATTGGTATAGCACTTAGGCTGTTTATAAGTTTTTCCTATTACAATAACTGCAAATGAAGATTATTTTATCTTTTCTTATGCAAATTGTGGGAGTTTCTTTTGGCATTGGTTTTCAAACTCTTGACATTTCCCATAGTGATACATTTTACATTGTGGTCTGGGATAAATGAATGCACATATAACTGGAATAACAATTTCTCATGGAGTAATACTTACCCTTCTGCCATGACACACCCACTGATATGTTCTAGTGTCTTTCACTTTATTCCATTTTATTAAAAAACAAAAGCTACTCATGAACCCCCAAAGAACAGAAACCTGCAGTTTGAAAACACTGCTGAAGGGTATATCCATGAGGATAATGAGAGGGCAAAGATGGGCACATTTTCAACTTTACTAAATATTCCAAATGTCTTTCCAAATCATTGTATCAATTTACATCCCCACACAGCATGCTGGAGTGCCTGTTGCTTCCAGTCCTCGCCATATTTGGAATTGTCAATCGTTTTTTGTTTTTGCCAGTCTGATGAAATAGTATCTCATTGTCTTTTTAATTTGCTCATCTCTGAGCTAGAGATTCTAGCCAGTGCAGGAAGACAAGATAGAGTGCCATTCAGACTATTGAAGTGACTTTTTATTGACTATTGCTTTTCTTCTTTTGCATATTTCCTCTTTATGCCTTTGTCCAATCAGGTTGGTTTGTCATTTTTTCTTATTGTAAGAGTTATTGATATATTTTTTAATACTGTTCTTTTCTTGATAATATACATTGCATTTAGAATCTTCTCCCAATTTGTTGACCACTCCTTCCCTCAATTTTTTATTATTTCTTTTGTCCATAAAGGTTTTAATTTATATTATTGTGAAATTTATCAGTCTTTTACCTTACTGTTTATCCTTTTGGAGTCTTATTTAAGGAATTCTTACCCCTGAGTTCATAAGTACTCTACAGCAGTTTCTTGCAGAAGTTACAAAATTCTTTGTTGTTTTAATTTAGCTCTTCAATTCACCTGGATAATATTTTTGTGTATATGATATAGGGATCTAGTTTCATTATTTTCCCATACAATCATTTGTCCCAGTACCACATTTTTAATAGTTCATCCATTTCCCACCTCTGTCTTCTGACACAGGGAAGGTGTTTGTGAACTCTTAATCCCGTTGCATTGGCTTGTCTATCCTTCAGCCAGTTCCGTACTGTCTCAATGACTGTAGCTTTATAGTAACTACTGATATTTGATAGGATGAGTGCACCTTTTTAAATTCTTAAAATTCTTCACAATTATTCTAGCTATTTTTGGCCTTTTGCACTTCCATTTAAGTTTTAGGATCAGCTTATCAAGTTCCAGAAAAAACCCATGCTGGGACTTTTATTTGAATTGTATTGAATTTATAAATTAATTAAGCACCTTTATTCATAATAGCCTAAAACTGGAAATTACCCAAATGTCTATCAATAGGATAACGGATAAACTGTGATTTATTTATATTCTGGAATATTACTCATCAATAAAAAGGAACAAACTACTAACACATATAACAGTGTGGATAAATCTCAAAAACATTATTCTAAGTGAAAGAAACCTTATACAAAAGAATATATACTGTATGATTCCATTTATTTCAAGTTCTAGAATAGAGAGGGCTAAACGAGGGTGAAAAATCAGAATTGTGGGTACTTTTGAGAGATTGGGTGGGAACTGACTGAAAGGAGACATGAGAGAACTTTCTGTAGTTGTGGTATTGTTATATATCTTGATAGGAGATTGGTTATCATAAGTACATTTTCAAAATTTATGGTACACTTACACAAAATTGAATGTACACTTAATATTTGTACATTGCATTATATGTACATTTTGCCTCAAAAGAAAAAATTATAAAGAAGTATTGAACTCTAGCTAATGATATTCCCACTGAATATTTAGGGGACTCATACTGCAGTTTACATGCATCAGAATAAAAAAATGATATGGATTGATGAATGGATAGAAAGATGGATGGGGTGCCTGACTGGCTCACTAGAGCATGCAACTCTTGATCTTGGGATTGTGAGTTCAAGCCCCATGTTAGGTGTAGAGATTATTTAAAATTTTTTTTAAATCTTAATAAAAAAGAAAGATGGATAGATGCATATGGTAAAATGTTATGGTAGAGTGGTAGATATATGAATGTTCACTAAAAAATTCTTTCAACTTTGCTCTATATTTGAAAGTTTTAGTAATAAGATATTGGACTCTTATAGATCAATAGAATAAAAACAAATAAGCTAATTAAAAAATGGACAAAGGACTTAAGTAGACATCTCCCTAAAGAAGACGTACAAGTGGCCAAGAAGCTCGTGAAAAAGATGTTCACATTACTAATCATCAGGGAGATGCAAATCCAAACCACAATGAGTTGCTATCTGACACCTGTTAGGATGGCTCTATCAAAACAACAACAAAGGATAAATATTAGCAAGGATGTGGAGAAATTGGAACCCTTACATGCTGTTGGTGGGAATATAAAATGGTGCAGTCTTTATGGAAAATGGTATAAAGGTTCCTTAAAAAATTAAAAATAGAACTACCCTATGATCCAGCAGTTTCACCTTTGGGTACATATTCAAAAGAATTGAAATCAGGATCTCATAGAGTATTCACATTCCCATGTTCATTATTCACAATAGGCAAGATGTGGAAGCAACTCGTGTCCATTGACAGATGAATGGGTAAAGAAAATGTGGTATATGTATAGAATGGAATATTATCCAGCCTTTAAAAAGAAGGAAATCCTGCCATGTGCAACAACGTGGGTGAACCTTGAGGGCATTATGCCAAGGGAAAGAAGCCAGTTACAGAGAAGGACAGATACTGCATGATTCCACTTTACATGAGGTATCTAGTCAAACTCATAGAAACAGGGGTAGAAGGGTGGTTGCCAGCAACTGGGGTATGGGAATGAGAGTTGCTCTTCAACAGGTATAAAGTTTCAGTTATGCAAGATAAATAAGTTCTAGAGATCTGGTCAACATTGTGCCTATCTTTAACTGTATTGTACACTTAAAAAATTAATATGGTAGATCACACATATTAAGTGTTCTTATCACAGTCAAAAAATAAAATACTGGGAAAAATGTATCAATAGGATTTTTTTTATCTAGCAGCTATTTACAATGGAAATGAAGGTTAAAAGCATTAATTTATTTTTTGACTTGCTCTGGGGGCTCTTTAGAGGAGTTTATTTAAGTCAGACTGATTATACTACTAAATAACATGTAGAGAGATCTGTCTAGATTTTCAGGGAGGCTTATTTTAATTGAGCCCCTTAGACCCTATATAACATATGTGCTAGTATAAATGTGAGTAGTTAAACTTAATTTTCATATAAGCCTTTTATATGGTTTATAAATAAGGATAAAAGTGGATCATCTGCTTTAAAAAGAAAAAGGAATGTCCTTGATATGTTGAGATTCCAGAATCAGAGACTCCAATAATTCCTTAGGGTCTACCCTTTATTTTAATAATTAGTTTGAGGGCAAGCCAGACCAACTTTTATTAACATTTTTTCCTTAGAGTGGGATAGTTTTCATCTCTTTCCTGCCAGCATGCTTTCATCAGTTTAACTTTGTGGTCAACAACTCCATTTTAGGCACAATTCTCAGATATATAAGAAAAAATTTCCAATTAAGATAATATTCTTCCAGCTATTCCTCTTATGGGTGTTGTTGTTACTATTTGAGTTCCAAGCATGAGTGATTATCTCTCTTCCTTAACTTGGCAGTGTCTTGGGGTAATGGAAAGAGGGGCACAGGGATGGAAATGAAATTTGAAATCTGTGATTCTTTTGGCAAGCTCTTCCTCTCAATGCTGCGATTTCATTTAGCACCTCTGAGAATATTGCCTTCGCAGTATGGGCATGCTGGCAAAACACAACACAACATTATGTAAAATTTAGCTAGTGTATGGTAGGGAGGTGTTTAAGTCAGTCACTTTGTAGATTCCTTGTAAGTTTCATTGGTAAATGAAAATATGATTTGTGTTGAACAATAGTGAACTATGTTAATATCAGGAACATTCTATATTTACTGAGAACATATTAGGAAATAAAGGCTACCTTTCTCGTGCCTTTAATTGCTTTCTGTCTCGTAGAGCTGACGGGCTTTGCCTGATCTCAGCACCCACGTTATTGTTTCAGGTCCCGTGGGAATGGCTGCTGCCGCTGCAGTGGCAACAGGAAAGAAGCGGAAACGGCCTCACGTGTTTGAGTCTAATCCATCTATCCGGAAGAGACAGCAAACACGCCTGCTTCGGTGAGGGCTCCCTTCTCCGTGCTGTTGCTGTTCCTCCAGCACTTCGTGGTGTGACAGGCATTACTAGGTGCACCGAGGATACCGTCGGAGTCCTTGATGGCAGAATTAGACTTGAAAGTACTCCTGTGAAGTCAAACACATGAAACTAGAAAGGAAGAACAGATGTAGAATACCACATCATTTCATTCAGAGAAAATTTCTATGCCTGCACTGTGCCAGACATTGTTCTAGGCCTTGGGAATATAACCATGAATAAAACAAATTCCCTGAAAGAGCTTATAATCCAGTGGAGGAAAAAAGAAAATAAACACATATGTAATGTGTCAAATGATGATAAGTACTATGGAAAAAAAGTGGAGTAAGGAAAAAAAGAAAAGAAAGGTTTGGGGAGGATATAGTAGTTTCTCTTTTTTTATAGGGATGGTCTGGGAAATCCTCTTTGACAGGCAACCTCTGAATGGAGACCTAAAGTAAAGGGGCATGACTAATGTCTAAAGGAAGAGCTTTTCAGGCGGAGAGAAGAGCAAGAGGAAAGTTGTACAAGTGGCATGGAATGAATGTGATAGTCATGTTTGAGGAATAGCCAGGGAAAGAATGACGGGAGATAGAGTCAGAGCAGTAGTAGAGAGCCACATTATGGGGTCATTGGTCCGGTGTAACGGCTTTGACTCTTGTTCTGAGTGAGATGGGAAGTCAGTGAAGGCTTTTGACCAAAGCAGTGATATGCTCTGATTTATGTTTTCAGAGAAACCATCAGGCTACCGTGTTGAGAGTAGAATTTGGATATACCAGAATGGAAGCAGGGAGAACAGTTAGGAGTTTATTGTAGTAATCCAGGCCAGAAATCACAGGATCTTAAAACCAATATCGCAGCAGCAAAGGTAGTAAGAGGTGGTCATCCTGGATGTATTTCAAAAGTCAACTCCAACATGATTAACTGATGGATTGGATGTGGGGTGTGAGAGCAAAAACAGCAGGGAAGGGGACCTCAAGATTTTTGGTCTGATTACTGGAAGGGTTGAGATGACACTTACTGGAAGAGAGGAGCAGGTATAGGAATGAGTGAGGGTAGGGCAGAATCAGGAATTTGGTTTTGGACCCGTCAGGTCTGTGATACCTCTTAACCATTAAGTGGAGAAACAATAAGCAGTTGATACGTGAGTCTGGAATTCAAAGGAGAGATCTTGCTGAAAATGACTAAGTCTTAGATCTTGTCTAAGACTGTGAGACTGGAAGAGGTCACCTAGAGAGTGAGTGCAGACTGAGGCCTGAAGCATTCTACCCTTTAGAGGTTGGAGAGATGAAAGGAATGAGCAAAGGAGTCCAAGAAGCTACCAGTGAATCAGGAGGAAAATCAAGAGAGCAATACACTAGAGGGGCGCCTGGGTGGCTCAGTCGTTAAGCGTCTGCCTTCGGCTCGGGTCATGATCCCAGGGTCCTGGGATTGAGCCCCGCATTGGGCTCCCTGCTCCGCGGGGAAGCCTGCTTCTCCCTCTCCCACTCCCTCTGCTTGTGTTCCCTCTCTCGCTATGTCTCTCTCTGTCAAATAAATAAATAAAATCTTTAAAAAAAAGGAGAGAGCGAGCAATACACTAGAAACCAAGTGCAAAGAGTGTTTTAAGAAGGAGGGCATGTGATCAGCTCTGTCAAATGCTGCTGGCAGGTTGAATAAGATGCAAATTGACCATTAGATTTAGCAACACGGAGGTCATGGTTGAACTTGGCAAGAGCATTTCCAGTGGAGTGGTAAGGATGAAAGGATTGGGGTGTCTTCAAGAGAAAATGGGAAAAAAAGAATTGGAGAGCGTGAATATAGACCATTCCTTCAAAGAATGCTGCCAAATTTCTTGTTTGGCATATGGTCCTTTGCTGAAGAGTTTTTTTCTGAAGAGTTTGTAGGTTGCACAGAAAGATTATCACGCAGGTATAATACACAGAGGACTTAATATTTGATGGTTGTACAAAATGCATTCATAGAGGGTAAGAAATTTTGTCTATAAAATATTCCAGAAGTTTTTTTCTTGTAGTGTTTTAAATATTATATCCAAAATTTCTAGGTGTTATTAGAATGTTGAATCCAGATGGAGTGCCAGTCCATGCAAATGATATGTGACAAAAGCTAGAAAATACAGTTTATTTTATAAGAGGAAGATTATAAGAAACTGAAGGAAAAACCCAAAAAGTACTGGATCGGAAGCTTTCGGCAAAGAGTTTATATGCCACCTGATAGGCAGTTCTTCTCATTTCCTTTAATGACGGGATAGGCCGGAGTAATTAGAATGTGTTATATATAGAAATGTCTTTGCTATAAGGGGCATAGACGTGGTAGTACATACTTTTGGAGAAAGATGGAAAACTAGGCATGTTCGCTCTGTTTCATCTGAATTAATTACTCACCAGTCCCTGGAGAGAGTAGACTATGTTCTCAGAAGGATTATAGAATGTAGAACTTTAAAATAATCTCCCATGATTTCAGAGGAAAAGCCCAACATTTCTGTGTCGTCCAGTGTTGATATATTTAAAAAAGCTCTTTTACTTCTTCCTTATTTGTAAAATATTACAGGACCAAGAATTGTTGTTTATATGCAATGAAAATCTAGAAATGACATTTTTGAAGTCGTATTTCTGGATAAAACTGTCAGTGAGACATAAACAATGACATATCAGTCAAAGAAATTAGAAGCAGGTCATTTAGGCCCCCTTCATTAAGCATGTCTCCATGATATGATAATGTCTACAAGAAAATGTCTCAGCAGTAATCTTTATCGTTATTACAAGTTGCAGTAAGAGAAAACCCCTTTAGTGTTGCTAGGATCAGGAAGAATTAAAGTCTCCATGTTCAGCCTTGTGTCATGGCTGTGCCTGATGCAAACTTGTAGCCGACCCTTGTATCAGTGGGCTAGTCATTGATCTTTGGGACAAAGGTATGCACATATTTCTGCTGAACAGGATATTCAAACTCACACTCCCCTTTTCACATTTTGGGTACAACAACGTATCTAATCAGAATAAATTGTCTCAAGTCAAAGTAAATTTTGTTTCTTTGTCACTGTCATTTCTCTCTTCTTTAACTGTTTTTATTCTCTTTTCATTCTCTAATTCAGGAAACTTCGAGCCACATTAGATGAATATACTACTCGAGTGGGACAGCAAGCTATTGTCCTCTGTATCTCCCCCTCTAAACCCAACCCTGTCTTTAAAGTGTTTGGTGCAGCACCTTTGGAGAATGTGGTAAGAAAACTCAGCTGTGTCCTCAGATACTCAACTCTTGCTTTCTGTGGGTTGTTGGTTGTTCTTTTGATCCTCTGTCTAGTACAATAGCTTTTACTTCTCTCCTCCCCTCATCTGGGGGTGGGAGTGGGACTGGTTTTCAAACCATTTTATGTAGATCAAAATAAAAAGGATTATTTCTGTTTGTACTTACTATAACAACATATTCTACCCAGGGGGGGAAGGATGGTGTTACGTTTCTTAAGAAACCACCACCACAGGATCTTGTTGGTTTTTTTTTTTTTAATTTAAAGTTATTTATTTATTTATTTATTTATTTATTTTGAGAGAGAGAGAGACAGAGTGAGTGAGAGAGAGAATACGAGCAGGGTAAGGGGCAGAGAGAGAAGCAGACTCCCTGCTGAGCAGGGAGCCCAATGTGGGACTTGGTCCCGGGACTCTGGGATCATGACCTGAGCCGAAGGCAGACGCTTAACCCAGTGAGCCACCCAGGTGCCCCAACGATTTTGTAAGAAAATTACTGATTTATGTCAGAAACAAAATGTGAGATAATTCTAAGATGTAAACTTCGTGAGGCAAACCTCAGGAAGCATTTTACTGCTTGCTGGTATTTGAGTTCCATATTTAAAATCGCTTGCATTTCTTTGAAGAATTTATTTGACACTGTGCTTCAATTTTGAAATATAGTTGAATATTTTGATTGCCTAACTATCTGTAGCTAAGTTTATAAAGATAGTATTTTACCTTTGTATACTTATACTAAGTGAACTACTCTTTCTCTGGTGGAAATAACTTTGAATCGTTAGTAGAATAATGGTCTGTCCAGATTTAGATTGCATTTTGTTTTTATTAGGATGACGTTTATTAGCTAAAGGGACATTTATTGGATTTCTCACATATCGAATGTAGACATTTCAGGAGTTTAGAACTGATTAGTAAGCAATTGAAATTTTGTTTGTTTTATTGTGTGTGTGTTTTTTTTCACATACAAATGTTGTTCTTTTTCAACATTTTTGAGTTTTGTTTTGAGTTTTGCCAAAAATTCCTGAGGCCCTAGATTTAGGGTGCATATTAGGACCTTTCCTTAGAAGAATATGGTAGAAGATTTTTAGATCAAAATGGTGCCTGACAAGCTGTCCTTAGTGTCATGATGTTCACCAACATGAAATCTGGGCATGTCTTCTTTTTTTCAGTATCAAAAATTTAAAATAATTTTACTACTAATAGTAATATGATCTGTGAAAAAGACTCATCCAGAAGACTCAGAAAAATACCTCTGAAAATTGCTCACTGAAAAGAGGGGTGCCTGGCTGGCTCAGCCAGTGGAGCATGTGACTCTTGATCTTGGAGTTGTAAGTTTGAGCCCCATGTTGGGTATAGAGATTACTTAAAACAAAATCTTTTAAAAAAAACAAAAACAAAAAGAAAGTTTGGAAAACTCCTGGAGTCTTCCATACATTATAAAAAGAAACAAACAGTCATATGACAAACTAGACAGAAAAAACAGTATTTTTTTCATTGACTGACATTTGATAAATACAGGCTGAAGAATAAATACCGGTAGAATTAGAAGCAGAATATGTCTTCCAAAACATTAAAGAGGGAAAAAACAAGTCTGTATAAAAGATTTAAAAAGGAAAACAGAAAATATAGAACAAAGTAATAAAGTGAAGCCAATTAATTCTGTTATAAATCATAAATATAAATGGATTAACTCCTTTGAGAACGACAAAGATTTTCTTTCAGAGTGGAACAACAATAATCCAAACCAAAACCCAACTGTATTTAATTTATGTGACATACTCACGGTGACTCACAAATGTTCAAAGTAGCTGCAAATGATACCATTAAGAAAGTGAAAAGGCAGTTCACAGAATGGGAGAAAATATTTGCAAATCATACATCTGACAAATAACTTGAATCCATATAAAGAACTCTTAGAACTGAACAATAAAAAGACAACCCAGTTTTATTTATTTATTTAGAGTGCGCATGTGCAGCAGCCGGGCGGGGGTAGTGGCGGGCAGAGGGAGATAGAGAATCTCAAGCGGGCTACATACCTGGTGTGGAGCCCCATGCAGGGCTCGATCTCACCACCCTGAGATCACAACCCAAACTGAAATCAAGAGTTGGACACTTAACTGGCTGAGCCACCCAGGCACCCCAAGCCCAGTTTTAAAATGGCAAAGAATCTGTCACTGTTTGCATATGACATACTACTATACTTAGAACACCCTGAAGACTCCACCAAAAATCTGTTTGAACTGATAAATGAATTCAGTAAAGTTGCAGGATACAAAATTAATATACAGAAATCTGTTGCATTTTTATACATTAATAATGAAGTAAATTCTGCTTCTGAAACCAATATTGCACTGTATGTTAACTAATTTGAATTTAAATAAAAATTTGAAGAAAAAAATAATGAAGTAGCATAAAGAGAAATTAAGAAAACAATTCCATTTACAATTGCACCAAAAAGAATAAAATACTTAGGAATAAACTGAACCAAGGTGGTGAAAGACTGTACTCTGAAAAAAAAAATACAATGATGGAAGAAATTGATGACAGCACAAATGGAAAGATATTTTACGCTCATAGATTGGAAGAATTAATATCATTAAAATGTCCATACTACCCAAAGCAATCTACAGATTCAGTGCAATCCCAGTCGAAATACCAATAGCATTTTCAAAGAAGCAGAACAAATAATCCTAAGATTTGTATGGAACCATAAAAGACCTCAAACAGCCAAAGCATTCTTGAGAAAGAATACAGCAGGAGGTATCACAATCCCAGATTTACATGGTTTTAATAATCAAGACGGTATAGTACTAGCACAAAAACAGGTACATAGATCAATAGAACATAATAGAAAGCCCAAAAATAAACCCACCATTATATGGTCAATTAATCAGTGACCATGGAGGCAAGAATATATAATGGGGGAAAGATAGTCTCTTCAAAAAATGGTGTTAGGAAAACTGGACCCCTTTCTTACACCATACACAAAAATAAATTCAAAATGGATTAAAGACCTAAATGTGAGACCTGAAACCATAAAACTCTTAGAAGAAAACATAGGCAGTGATCTCTTGTACATTGGCCTCAGCAAGATATTTATGGACGTGTCTCCTCAGGCAAGGGAAAAAAAAGCAAAAATAAATTATTAGGACTACACCAACATAAAAAGCTTTTTGTGCAGCAAAGGAAGCCACCAACATAATGAAAAGGCAATCTACTGAATGTGAGAAGATATTTGTAAATGATACATGTGTCAAGGGGTTAATATCCAAAATATATAAAGAAGTCACACAGCTCAACACCAAAAAAAAACCAAACAATCCAATTAAAAAATGGGCAGAGGACTTGAATAGACATTTTCCCAAAACCTACAGATGGCCAACAGACCTATGAGAAGATGCTCAGCCTCACTTATCATCAAATCATCAAATCAAAACCAGAATAAGATATCACCTCACACGTGTCAGAATGCCTGGTATCAAAAAGAGGGGCACCTGGGTGGCTCAGTTGGTTAAACATCCGACTTGGTTTCAGCTCAGGTCATGCATGATCTCAGGATCGTGAAATCAAGCCCCACTTCGGGCTCTGTGCTCAGTGTGGAGTCTGCTTGAGATTCTTACCCCACCATACCTCCCTCCACTCGTATGCACGCTCTCTCTCTCTCCAAAATAAATAAATAAAACCTTAAAAAAGAAAAAGAAATAACAAGTGTTGGTGGTAATGTGGAGAAAACAGAACACTTGTGTACTGTTGGTAGAAGTGCAGCCACTATGGAAAACAGTATGGAGGTTGTTGCTCAAAAAATTAAAAATAGAAATACCATACAATCCAGTAATTCCACTACTGGCTATTTATAGAAGATATGAAAACACTAATTTCAAAAAGATACATGTACCCCTATGTTTACTGCAGCATTATCTACAGTTGCCAAGATACGGAAGTAACCCAAGTGTCCATCCACAGAGGGATGGATAAAGAAGTGGTAGTGTGTATACACACACACACACACACACACACACACACAGTGGAATATTACTCAGCCATAAAAAAAATGAAATCTTGCCATTTGTGATAACATACATAGACCCTAGAGGGTATTATGCTAAGTGACATAAGTCAGACAAAGGCAAGTATCATATGATTTCACTTACATGTGAAATCTAAAAAAACAAAACAAAGCAGAAACAGACTCTTAAAATACAGAGAACGAATTGGAGATTGCCAGAGCAGGGTGGTAGGGGATCGGCAAACAGGTGAAGGGGAGTGGGCGGTACAGGCTTCCAATTATGGAATGAATAAGTCATGGGGATGAAAGGTGCAGCATAGGGAATATACTCAATGGTATCATAATAGCATTGTATGGTGACAATAGATATACTTGTGAGCGTAGCATACTGTATAGAGTTATCAAATCACTATGTTGTAATACCTAAAACTAATGTAAGTTGTGTTAAACTATACTTCCAAGTTTTTAAAAAATGGCAAAGAATCTGAATAGATATTTCTCCAAAGAAGATAGAGAAATGGTCAGCAAGCACATGAGCACTAATGATAGTCATTAGTTATTACGGAAATGAAAATCAAAACCAGAATGAGACCACTTTGTACTTACTAGGATGATTATAATCAAAGAGGTGGACAACAATAAGTGTTGTTGAGAATATGTAGAAATTGGAACCTTCCGTACATTGCTACTGAGAATGTGAAATGATGCAGTTGCTTCAGAAAACAGTTAGATGGGGCGCCTGGATGGCTCAGTCGATTAAGTGGCTGCCTTCGGCTCAGGTCATGATCCCAGGGTCCTGGGATCGAGTCCTGCATCGGGCTCCCTGCTCGGCAGGGAGCCTGCTTCTTCCTCTCCCTCTGCCTGCCTCTCTGCCTACTTGTGCTCTCTCTCTATCTCTCTGTCAAAAAAATAAATAAAATCTTAAAAAAAAAACAGTTTGGCAATTTCTTAAAATTTTAAAAGTAGAGTC